AAACTAATTAAAACACTGTTAAAATAAAGGAATGTATTTTTTGGATTGGAATGATAGAGACAAAAAGATCAAGAAACAAACTGAAGGTGAAGTAGAGGTAGAACTATGATATCAAGGGTTATCATAGTAGTTAGCTAAAACCATACAAAATGTTGCTACTTGATAAGCTTATTTTATTTCAGCTAGTTGCCAGGGAAACATTTCTCATTTTAATTCAGTTTAACTTGATGTATTAAAATACTAAAATTAAAATGAACAGAAAATATATCAATAAAAACCAATTCAAACTAAGACACTGAAATAACACTGATATCTCTTACCCTGTGTATGTCCAGTGGAAGCACGTATCTCCGCACCTCTGGCTGTGGAGCTCTCATGGATGCTTTTTTGAGTTCCTCCCAATTTTGCCTCACGTTTGCCAAATATAGATAATTATACACAAAGTCATACCTGTCAATCAAAGAAAGAGAACCACAGATGATCACCACTGTATCGCATTTTCTCTCCTCTGGCCATGTTTCCTGCCATTAAAAAATGCATGTGCAAAGTGTTTTTGTTTTTTTTCATGTCTGTATTGTGTTATTTAGGCAATTCCGAGGTGTTAGCTAAAGCTTCAATAAATATAAAAAAAGCAAAACAAGTAATCGTACCCTTTCCAAGTGCACAGGTCAACAACAATAAACCCTTGGTCCTCAAAACAGTTAATGTGATGGAAAACATTAAAGGCAGATGTTCTGAATTTGTGGTTGATGTATTCTCCAGGATTCTTGGTTGCCAGATGAAACCACGTCTGGGAATGCAACCAAACAAATAGGATGAGGCAACATACAAAATACCTAGAACATTTCTCCCTCTAACAAACATATACTTAACCACGATTTAAAGATGATTTGATTCAAGTAAGCTCGGACTTACACCCATTCTTTCATTTGACTCAAAGCAGTCCATGTAGCTTGTTCCTCTGATGCTCCAAGAAGTCAGAAATTTCAGCAGATTGATCTTCACCGGATTCTCAACAAACACAAAGTGGTTCTCCGTCATACCAAAGCTGTATAATATATAACATTATATTAGTTATGAATAGTATTATTTAGAAAATATTATATTATATGACCAACCTATGGACGTAGGATGGTTTTAATCTCTCACTGCTTGGAAACTGAACCAAAACCTTTGACTTTTCTATTGGATCGGATTTATCTGATTAAACAAATAATACAAAAGTCAAACAGCTTCTCGTAAAGCATTAATAAGACCCTTTTATGCCAACAAAGCATTATACCAACCTTCTTTGTGGTGAGGGATCTTGACAATGTTGTAAGCCAGCGACATGTTCTTCCCAAAGCAGTTTCCAATGTTATATACAGTTCCGTCTGGTTCAATATGTGGATGTGCAGTCACACCGTTCACTGAGAGATAGTTGCAGAGGTCCACCTATGACCAAGTAGAGATGCTACAGTATTTATGCTTTTGTTAATGGGCAAAAACTTGGTAACAGAACAAAAGCCGGTAACACTTTGTTTTGATGGTCCCTTTTAGACATTCTGTTGACTATAAGTAATGTTGCACCTTCATGTCAACTAACTCTCATTAGAGTATTAGTAGACTATCTGCTGAATAATATCAGCTAACATTTTATTGTTGTGGTCCTACTATAAGTAACTAAATAAGTAATATTCTACCTACTATAAGTAACTTTGCAAACATGTCAACTTATTCTCTAACTCTAGCCCTAATAGTCAACTAAATCATAATCAACTAATGCAAAGTTAGTTGACTAGTATAAAGGATCATCGTTTTGAAGCTTAACCTAAAATCCTACCTTTTTTATCGTTTCGAGGGTCTCAGGATCAACTTTGGTTATGTAGTTGGTTTCCGTGCAGGCATAGAAGTCCTCACCGATGGGGTAGATGTTGACAAGGCAGTTGTCTGTCACCTCAATGCCTTGAAAGTAAGTGAAAAACCTATAACAAAAGTGGATGCACAACTGAGAGTAAATATTTTATGGCATTATAATTATATTCCCAATTCAAATTGAACATAAAATACTTTTCAGACCTGGAAAAATGTTTTTTGCATGGATCTGGATACGCAGCGGTGCCAAACTCAGTGATCACCACCCTTTTCTCTGTCATGGCTCTGACATAAGCATCAGTTCTGATAAATCTGAAGTTCAAGATGCCAGTTAATATGCACTTTAAGTAAAATCTTGGTTTTTTATTGTATAAAACCACTTTTCAAAACAAATCAGTCCAGGCATTTAAACTCAGATGGTCCACTTTACACATTCTACTAACTATAACTTGCAACTAAATGCCAACAAAAACTCATAAATTTGCAATTACATGTCAACCAACTCTTGTTAAAGTATTAGAAGACAGTTAGGTTAGGGTTAGTAGAATAAGTTGACATATAAGTCTATGTCTGTTGGGGGACCAACAAAATAAAGTGTTAAGCAGACAATCAACTAACACTCAAATGACTGGTAGACAGTTGACATGTAGTCGGAAAGATACCTATAGTTAGGAGAATGTCTAAGTGCTACAAAGTGCTACCATTATTACAAAACATTTAGGTAGCCCTAAACTCAATATGGGATGCAGCTTATTTATAGATTTGGGCACAATAAACAGAGGGTTTTACCTGCGGTGATAGGTGACATGTCCATCCTTCAGGTCAAACTTGTGTAAGAGAGCCTGGCCATCAAAAAGGTGGTATAAAGGTTCATCTCCAATCTCAAAGAGCCCAGGGCCCATGCGGAGCAGACTGCCAGTAAGCCATGCAGGGATTTTGCCTGCAGAGAGCGAGAGAAGGTTCACTTTAAAGGGTTAGTTTATTCAAAAAATGAAAATTCTGTCATTAATTACTCAGCCTCATGTTATTCCAACCTGTAAGACTTTCGCTCATCTTCAGAAAAGAAAAAAAAGATCTTTTTGATGAAATCTGAGAGCTTTCTCTACTACTACTTTTGAAAAGTTCATTAAAGAGATCGTTAAACTAATCCATATGAATTGAGCGTTTTAGTCCAAATTTTCTGAAGACTCCATCGCTTTATATGATGAATGGATTTCATTTAGGCTTTTCTTGCATGTCAAGAAACATAACCCCAACTGATGTGCGAGTTGATTAATGTTTATATGTGAATAGAAAAGCCTAAATTCAATGTTTATCACATAAAGAGATCTAGTAACTTCAGAAAATTTGGACTAAACCGCTTCATTCATATGGATTAGTTCTGCAATCTCTTTATGGACTTTTTAAAGTGGTAGTTGCGTAGCTGTCAATGGAAGGAAAGCTCTCAGATTTCATCAAAAATATCTTCATTTGTGTAAAGAAGATGAAAGAAAGTCTTATGGGTTTGGAATGACATGAGGGTGAGTAAATAATGACAGAATTTTCATTTTTGGAGAACATCCCTTTAAACCAAATGTCTATAATATACCAAAGGCTACATCAGCCACAGCTGAAACAACATTTTCCCCTTCAATGAAAGCATAAAGTAAATAGCAAAAAGTATCAAAACTTGAACATGCTTGATTAATAAGCAAACAAACCTGAGACATGAGCAGGAATGGGCTCAGCTAACTCTTCACATGATTCAAAGATTTTTTTATAGCCACTGGATGGGTGTTCAAGACTGAATGAAAACAGATGTCCACAAGTTTAGCATAATGAGCTAGAAGGAGGAGGTGAAATCGAAAAGAAATCAAAACAACTAAACTTATACAAATATACTCATTTTTCTTTGGCATTGATTCTACTAAATTATATAAATTATTAGATATAAAGCTTAAAGGAAACAACTGAATAAGAAAAATATTTAAATACAACATTTTGCAAACATTTACAATGAATAAAGACAAAACCAAAAAACATTCGTGCAATCTGAGGAGTCTGACAGAGGGAAAAGTTCCATTACTCACGGGTTGTCCATGTTGAACTGACTTTGAAGCGAGATGATGCCCGTGTGAGTAAACCAGAACTGTTCCGTTCCCAGAACTCCTCCTCCGAAGGCTCTAAAACAAAAATCCCTTTGTGTCCAGACCAGAACATTTTCACTAATGTTTACCTTCCTGAAAGACACTACGGCTCAAATACCTGTGGTGAACTGGGTCCGTTTGCAGATCTTTCTTGTGAACATCTTTAAGTTTGTTGTGCAGATTGTCATTTCAGAAAATTAAATAAATTAAAACTTTATTTTAAGCTGCCTTTACATGTACTTTCTATAGTACTAACAGTATACTCCTAAACTAAACCCTATAGTAAGAACATGTAGTTAATTAGGGGCCAAGCACCGAAGGTGCAGAGGCACCTATTGTATCTGTTGGTTTTATTATTATTAGGGGCCAAGCCCCGAAGGGGTAGCCCCTATTGTATCTGTTGGTTTTATTAGGGGCCAAGCACCGAAGGTGCAGAGGCACCTATTGTATCTGTTGGTTTTATTATTATTAGGGGCCAAGCCCCGAAGGGGATAGCCCCTATTGTATCTGTTAGTTTTCTTATTAGGGGCCAAGCCCCGAAGGGGTAGCCCCTATTGTATCTGTTGGTTTTATTATTATTATTATTATTATTATTATTATTATTATTCTTCCCGGTGGAAGTCTATGGCAGCCCTATGAACCGTAAGTAGGAAAATGATGAAATTTGGCACACTTATAGAGATCATCATGAAAAGTAATTGAGCCAAATTTTGAGTCCCTAGCCCCAACTCTATAGCGCCACCACCAGTTCAAAATTTCAACATTAAAATCGTTGTAACTTTTGAACCCTTTGGTCTAGAGACATGAAACATAGTACACCTGATTCCACTCATCATGCTGATCACAACCAATGTCATACATTAAGACTCCGCCCATTACAGTAGACGCCATTTTGAAAAGTACAGTATTCAGTTTTTTTGCTACTCCTCCTTCAAAATTTGTTCAATTTTGTCCAATATTTGGTCAAATGATATTTAGACTTAGCCGCACAGAAATGACTGAACAGATTTTTTTTAGTTGTCTTTCTTCAAAAGTTATGGTGTCGCAAACTTAGTGAGGTCCACCCAAAATTGGCTAAGAGGCTGTATCTCGGCCAAAGTTTGATCAATCGAAACAGAAATCGATACACTTTATCAGAAGCATGTTCTGAGGTGTCATACCAAAGTTGGGAATAGCGCCACCTAGGGGTCATGAGATATGCAAAATTGCTATTTTGGCCAATAACTTTTGAACAGTTTTTCAGAAAATCATAAATGTGGTATCTATGGATTCCTTGGATCATGCCGAATCCGTGGATATCAATTTTGCCATGATGGGATGTACCTCGTGTCCGCCATTTTGAATTTTGTCATAATTTGCAATATCTTTAAAACTTTTTAAAATTTCTCCACCAAATTTGGTATGGATCATCATTAGCATGGCCCAAAGGTACATGAGAAGTTTGATGACAGCGCCACCTAGTGTTCCAAAGTTATAAGTTTTTTTGTAAAAACGCTTATAACTTTTGCAAATATAGTTCAAAATTTAATTTCTTTATATCAATATGTTCCTTGGCTTATACCGATTCTAACGATGTCTCATTTTTCATTTTCCAACAAAGTGACTGTCCGCCATATTGGAGCAAATGAAAAACCATTTTTTCGCTACTCCTCCTTCAGATCTTGCTCAAATTTTTCCAAAATTTGGTCAGATGATCTTTGGACCGAGCCGCACAGAAATGACTGAACAGATTTTTGATATTCGTTACCGTTTTTGAGATATTCGTCTCCAAAATTGACCTAGCCTGTGTTTGTTGCCTTATGCTAGTTAGCTTAGCATAATAATTGTTCAGCATGCTAACCAGGTGCCATTCTTTTTAATGGGGCTCTTCAGCTAACAGGATGACCATAAGCTATATTAGCATTGAGCTAGCTTAGCATGCTAATCACGTTAACATAATTTTGTGCGTTTATTCTTATACTGAAGCCTCTCCTCTGCAGTTTTGTAATTTATATCCTATGAGTGGCGCAAGCTGCTAAACCACGTGTCACGAATCCCGAACCATTGCGGTCGTGGGTTCGAATCCCGTGTGGCACATGCCCAGACCGCAAGAGGTACTGTGGCCTTAAGTGGTGGAAAAGTCGTTTCAGTTCTACACATGGTGTCTGTCTGAGAAAGAACATGTGCTTGTTGTACTTGTTCTGCTTGTGGTCCCTTTCAGGGCTTGGCCCCGCAAAGGCTGCTTGCAGCTTTAATTATTATTATTATTATTCTTCTTCTTCCGCCAATGTAAGTCTATGGCAGCCCTATGAACCGTACGTAGGAAAATGATGAAATTTGGCACACTTGTAGTGATGGTAATTATTAGTAATTGGTCCAATTTTTGACCCTCTAGGACCAACTCTATAGCGCCACCACCAGTTCAAAAATTCAACATTGAAATGGTTATAACTTTTGAACCCTTTGCTCTAGAGACATGAAACTTAGTACACCTGATTCCTCTCATCATGCTGATCACAACCAATACCTTACATTAAGACCCCGCCCATTACAGTAGAGGCCATTTTGAAATGTACAGTATTCAGTTTTTTCCCTACTCCTCCTTCAAATTTTGTCCAATTCTGTCCAAAATTTGCTCAAATGATCTTCGGACTGAGCCGCACAGAAATGACTGAACAGATTTTTTTTATTCATCTTTGTTCAAAAGTTATGGTGTCGCAAACTTAACGAGGTCCACCCAAAATTGCCTAAGAGGCTGTATCTCGGCCAAAATTGAATCAATCGAAACGAAAATTGGTACGCTTCATCGGAAGCATGTTTTGAGGTTCCATACCAAAGTTGGGAATAGCGCCACCTACGGGTCATGAGATATGAAAAATTGCTATTTTGGCCAATAACTTTTGAACGGTTTTTCAGAAAATCATAAATGTGGTATCTATGGATTCTTTGGATCATGCCGAATCCGTGGATATCGATTTTGACATGATGGGCTATACCTCGTGTCCGCCATTTTGAATTTTGTCATAATTTGCAATATCTTTAAACCTCTTTGAAATTTCTTGACCAAATTGGGCATGGATCATCATTAGCATGCCCTGAAGGTACATGAGAAGTTTTATCACAGCGCCACCTAGTGTTCCCAAGTTATAAGGTTTTTTGTAAAGATGCTTATAACTTTTGCAAATATTGTTCAAAATGTAATTTCTTCATATCAATATGTTCCTTGGCTTATAACGATTCCACCGATGTCTCATTTTTCATTTTCCAACAATGTGACTGTCCGCCATATTGGAGCAAATGAAAAACCATTTTTTCGCTACTCCTCCTGCAAATCTTGCTCGAATTTGTTTAAAATTTTGTCAGATAATCTTTGGACCGAGCCGCACAGAAATGACTGAACAGATTTTTGATATTCCTATCGTTTGAGAGATATTTGCCTCCAAAGTTGACCTAGCCTGTGTTTGTTGACTTATGCTAGTTAGCTTAGCATAATAATTGTTTAGCATGCTAACCAGGTGCAATTCTTTTGAATGCGGCTCTTCAGCTATCAGGATAACCATTAGCTACGTTAGCATTGAGCTAGCTTAGCATGCTAATTGCGTTAACATATTTGTGTGCTTATTCTTATACTGAAGGATCTCCTCTGCAGCTCAGTTATTTGCGTCTTCTGTGTGGCGCAAGCTGCTAAACCACGTGTCACGAATCCCGAACCATTGCGGTCGTGGGTTCGAATCCTGTGTGGCACATGCCCAGACCGCAAGAGGTACTGTGGCCTTAAGTGGTGGAAAAGTTGTTTCAGTTCTAGACATGGTGTCTGTCTGAGAAAGGACTTCCAAAAATATAACATGCAGCAAATTTATATATTAAAAAAATCTTAATTTTGAGGTTATTTTCACTTGTACTACTGACCCAACAGTTTTTTTTTTCCAAATGTCGGAGTTGCTGCTGCTTCCGGGCTTGGCCCCTGCATTGCTGCTTGCAGCTATATTTAGGGGCCAAGCCCCGAAGGGGTAGCCCCTATTGTATCTGTTGGTTTTATTATTATTATTAGGGGCCAAGCCCCGAAGGGGTAGCCCCTATTGTATCTGTTGGTTTTATTATTATTATTATTATTATTATTATTATTATTCTTCCCGGTGGAAGTCTATGGCAGCCCTATGAACCGTAAGTAGGAAAATGATGAAATTTGGCACACTTATAGAGATCATCATGAAAAGTAATTGAGCCAAATTTTGAGTCCCTAGCCCCAACTCTATAGCGCCACCACCAGTTCAAAATTTCAACATTAAAATCGTTGTAACTTTTGAACCCTTTGGTCTAGAGACATGAAACATAGTACACCTGATTCCACTCATCATGCTGATCACAACCAATGTCATACATTAAGACTCCGCCCATTACAGTAGACGCCATTTTGAAAAGTACAGTATTCAGTTTTTTTGCTACTCCTCCTTCAAAATTTGTTCAATTTTGTCCAATATTTGGTCAAATGATATTTAGACTTAGCCGCACAGAAATGACTGAACAGATTTTTTTTAGTTGTCTTTCTTCAAAAGTTATGGTGTCGCAAACTTAGTGAGGTCCACCCAAAATTGGCTAAGAGGCTGTATCTCGGCCAAAGTTTGATCAATCGAAACAGAAATCGATACACTTTATCAGAAGCATGTTCTGAGGTGTCATACCAAAGTTGGAATAGCGCCACCTAGGGGTCATGAGATATGCCAAAATGCTATTTTGGCCAATAACTTTTGAACAGTTTTTCAGAAATCATAAATGTGGTATCTATGGATTCCTTGGATCATGCCGAATCCGTGGATATCAATTTTGCCATGATGGGATGTACCTCGTGTCCGCCATTTTGAAATTTTGTCATAATTTGCAATATCTTTAAAACTTTTTAAAATTTCTCCACCAAATTTGGTATGGATCATCATTAGCATGGCCAAAAGGTACATGAGAAGTTTGATGACAGCGCCACCTAGTGTTACAAGTTATAAGTTTTTTT